CTGGACAAGGCGGAGGCTGGGGCGGTGGCAAAGGCTCCGGTCAAGTTGCCGCGACAAGGCGGAGGTCTGGCGCCGGCGGCAACGGCGCAACCGGTCAAGGTTCCGGACAAGGCGTGAGGCTGGGGCGGCGGCAAGGAGGCCAAGGCTCTGGACAAGGTGGAGGCTGGGGTGGAGGCCAAGGCTCCGGTCAAGGTTCTGGACAAGGCGGAGGCTGGGGCGGTGGCAAAGGCTCCGGTCAAGGTTCCGGACAAGGCGGAGGCTGGGGCGGCGGCAAAGGCTCCGGTCAAGGTTCCGGACAAGGCGGAGGCTGGGGCGGCGGCAAAGGCTCCGGTCAAGGTTCCGGACAAGGCGGAGGCTGGGGCGGCGGCAAAGGCTCCGGTCAAGGTTCCGGACAAGGCGGAGGCTGGGGCGGCGGCAAAGGCTCCGGTCAAGGTTCTGGACAAGGCGGAGGCTGGGGCGGCGGCAAAGGCTCCGGTCAAGGTTCTGGACAAGGGGGAGGATGGGGGCAAAGAATAGGCTACGAAGGACATGATGACCTCGACACCTGGAACCGTCAAATCAATTTGCACAGAGCTGGCTGGGACGTTTGAACAGTCTGGTTCAGCGATTCCGACAGGCTATCCACTGAGCCGTTATACCCATGCGGCACGCGGCAAATGTACAAGCCGCTGTAAATCTATAGAAAGGTGAGCAATAATTTGGCATCAGATGTGGTGCAGCTGCATTCAACGAACGCGTCATGAGCGTGTTTCACGCTCGTACAACAAGAACTTAGCTGTATCGAGTTTAGTTTTAACTAGTACGTAAAACTGAACTCATTATGTGCCTACATGACAGTCTTAAACCGTACCATGCACCTGTGCTGCCGTCTGCGCGAAACTTCAAGAAATAAACTTTTCTACATGCTCGAAACTATTTCGTGTCATACTGAGTTGGATCATTTGGCATGGTCCTTTCCTTCCGCAAATTTTCTTCTACCTGTGTTCTGTCGGTCTGTGTTCAATTGTTGCCGTAATTGCCGACGACCGTAATTACCGACGACGGCGATTGCGGCATCTTATTTGGACGATTATGCTTGAATGCTGTTTCTAAATTGAATACTCAAACCAACCTTGTTGGGCCCTTCGAAACTATCCCATATTGTCGCGAGAAAGGTAATTTCTTTATCCGTGCTCCTTTAGGAAAATGTGTTTACGCGAGAATAGTTAATTGTTGGCTTCATAGCCGCGTTTTCAACCAAGCTTCTATGAATCACAACTATATATATATATATATATATATATATATATATATATATATATATATATATATATGACGCTTCACAGGTGAATGTGAGGAAGGAAGATGAGGAAGACGAAGGGTTCTGACTGACGCCATGTCTCATCCGTTACAGTAAGCTTGCCAGATAAAACACAGCAATGCCATGCAGCAGTGTTATCGTTCTCTTTCGGACTCGACCAGAGGGAGGAGCGGAGAGAAATACAGCGAGACTTGACTCCCCCTAATGGGGAATCCTGCACACACCCTATGCTGATGCTAATTTTATACATTTAACATAATTAACAGATAATTAGTCTGAAGTTCTAAACGGTGGTTACCTCGCATGTGCAGTGTTGTCTGATCCATATCAATGTGCCTGTTATAACAGGGCAGTCATGCCTCGCCGCGGTGGTCTAGTGGCTAACGTACTCGGCTGCTGACCCGCAGGTCACGGGATTGAATCCCGGCTGCATTTCCGATGGAGGCGGAAATGTTGTAGGCCCATGTGCTCAGATTTGGGTGCACGCTAAAAAACCCCAGGTGGTCGAAATTTCCGGAGCCCTCCACTACGGCGTCTCTCATAATCATATGGTGGTTTGGGGACCTTAAACCCTACATATCAATCAACAGGGATGCCATACACGTATATATCTTATCGAGCTATTTCCACGTCTCTCCCATAAGTGCATCGGATACTTGAAACTAAAGCACTTCGGCTCCTCCTCGAGCTATAGCACAGCCGGAAAGTAAATGGCGGGTCATGCAGGCCAGGCTCATAGCAGGGCGACACGCATCTAATATAGCATTTGACCTCTGGCGTCCCGATTCTATTCCGTGGTGGCTATTGCTTGTAGCTGCCCAGTCTGAAACGAGGCGCCAGTACAGGGTGCAGCCGTCAATTCACAAAAAGAAATGAATCCTGGACATGGCAGTGACCTCGCTTCACTTGTCAGTGAAAAAATGCGGAATCCGAATGCGTAAATAAAATTGCCAGGTTCATCGTAAACAAGATTCGTTATTTGCTTTCTGTCGCCCCCTAGTGTCGAGATTACGTGTGCTATACGCACCACGGTAAAGCATTATGCCTTATAAAGAAATCCTAGCTACAGCGCAATGTGCGCAACTGCAGGCGCAATGCTGTAACATTCAGCGGAGCTGGTGTTAGACCTAGCTAGCTATTGCTATAGTAATGCCAAGCATTTGCAAGAGATGCTAAGTTTTTGCTAGTATATCCAAGTATGGCTAGACATGCCCCGTGACTACTTTCCACGTAGCGATGTGGTCACCTGACAAGATGTTCCATGGTTTATAGCGGGAACTTGTCACATGACCAGCTATTGCGCGATGGTGAGTGATCTTAGTCGCGCGAGCAGTTGTTACGCGATTCGAGTCTCGTAACTAGTCGTCACGTGATATTACAGGATGTTTTACTACCTAGCAGACCCACTCGCAATTAATTTTCATTGCACGCCGGACAAATGCGTACACGCATTGTGGGAGCGAAGTGGAAGTTCATGAAGATGAAGCGAGTGCGTACCGGTTGGTGATGGTAGATGCTCTTGGCACTACCCGGCGCAACGAAAAACCTGAAGAGCTTTCCTCTCAAAAGTTGAAGGCGTAGCACACTACTCTTTTCTTACAGCTGTGTCATTGAGTCTATTTACGGAATTTCAGCGCCATCATACCATGTGGTTAAATGATTTGTCGTGGAAACATCATTCTACACTCAAGAGAGTCATATGACGGTGAAGTGAACACTTGCTCTTGTTTTAGGGGCGAAGCTCCTTGCGGTCTAGAACAATCCTTCGTCCCACCGGCGTACCCAGTAGCAGCTCCCTTATCATACAATAGATGGCACTGTCCCATAGAGATGTGTGCAAGTGCAGTTGGGTGACGATATACTAGATGATGATGGTTCTGTGACGTTAAACACCACAAATCAATTATACTAGATGGTGATGTACGCATTCTGTGTCATCATCGCCAATGGGATCCTTGATATGTGGGTTTTAACGCCCAAAACCACCATATGATTATGAGAGACGCCGTAGTGGAGGGCTCCGGAAATTTCGACCACCTGGGGTTCTTTAACGTGCACCCAAATCTGAGCACATGGGCCTACACCATTTCCGCCTCCATCGGAAATGCAGCCGCCGCAGCCGGGATATGAACCCGCGACCTACGGGTCAGCAGCCGAGTACCTTAGCCACTGGACCACCGCGGCGGGGCCCAATGGGATCCTGGTCTAAGAATGCCACTCGCCGATCTACACGCACAGAAAAATCTTAATAAACGTTTCATTCTTTCTTTCATCACCATGTATCGTCTAGTTTCCTAGATGGCGCTGTCCTTCAGAGATGTGTGCAATATGGTAGTAAAGTGAAAGGGCACTAGATGGCATTGGAGGTACCGCTGCTCTCCGATTGGCTGTTGTGCGGGGATGCGCCGGTGCGCCCGTTATCTCCAATTCTCCTGGATAGTCGCCGCTCGAGTCGGATTGCGCTTGGTGGCCCGATAGGCTGCCGCCAAGCAAGCGCGGCGCCTGGCGGATCCCGAGACGGTGCCCGCCAAGAAAGCCACTGCGAAACTGGCTCAACGAGAAGCGGACCCCCTGGTTTTGGGACGTCAAACCCCACAAATCAATCGAAAAGCGGACCCCGGTATGCGAGAACGAGAAGCAGCGGCGGTTCCTCAACGTGTATATACGTATACCACCTGCGGTTCTTTAACGTGAATGCACATGGACAGGCTTCTAGCACTACTCCATTGCAAATGTGGCTACTGTGGCCGGGATTCCATCCCACGAGCTTCGGGGATGTGCCTACTTGTATTTGCGAGCTTTTGTACCATCTGTGTTTTAATAGACGCGCTACTGCTGAACGTTATCACGTGCTGTCACAATGGAAAGAAACGCGAACGGCGGAAAGCGTGCCTTTTGGCGTATGGCGTATACTGCTATCCCTAAATCCCTTGCCTGTCGCTAGGCCAATCTGTACTTTCAGCCGGCGATATCGCACTGCGTGTGCTTTCGGAGTGCCAAGCATGACTGGCAGATGTCACAAGCACACGCGGTGCAATAGCCTGACCAAGATTCTAGCACTAAGGTGACGATGGCTGAGTGCGCCGATTCGCCTATAGCGATAATCAAGGAGTGCCGAGGTTGGACTGTGCAAAAACCCACGTTTTCAGCTATTCGCGTTCCGTTCCATTGCAATAGTACACGCCAGCAGAATGGCTTGAACTAAAGCTGGGTCTTTTCCCTGTAGTCTTTGACATAACATTATTGCTTCTGCGATTGCGTTCTCAAGAGTAGGCGGGCGAGCAAAAGGAAAATGAGTGCACATTGAGTACATGCGCGGGCGAGACTGCAGATTCACTGCGAAAGGCGTTGCTCGACGTGTCCGTAGCTACAGCAGGCCTCGCGAAAGGCTTTCATGGGCGCTAAAGCCAGAATGCGCAACAGACGGCAATAAAAGCATATTATCGTTCGCAGAGCTTTCGCCCCAAACCACTGGCTAAACAAAGAGCTCACAGCTGCTAAAGTTCCGGGTATACACTCGCTAAGCCAAGAACAAACAATTAAGTTCATTTCCTTGGCCAGCCTATATACGCCCAGAGGTGGGCGTGATTCCAAATAGCCACGAGCTTGTGCTAATAGCACAGCCATGCATGTTCGCTAAATGTAGCTGGTCCATGGTCAGAAATAAATCGCGAGATCTCGTTACGACAGAAAGAAAGAATGAAAGAACAAAACATTACAGACTTTATTCAACTGTAAACAGCCATTATATTTGATTCCCTTGGATCTCTCGTTCCAAGTCTGTGCGCTTCTTTCTTCGCCTGAAGAGGCGTATATCAAAGTCACGGCAAGAATTCGTCAGCGGCAGGCCTTGACGTCACAGAGTTTTCGTGCAGCATTAGCAGCGTGGGGAAACAGTGCAGGCACACGAGACGATAAACTCTGCAGCCAACTACAAAGACAGGATATAAACGTTCGTTCGAGAGAAAGCAAAGTCCCCCCCCCCCCCCCCCCCCCCCCCCACTCCCGCCCCCCCAAATGTGGACGGTCTCGAGCTGTACACTCACGTGCGATATGAAGGTTATCGCGCGAGCGTCGACGAAAAACTACAACAGCGCCACTTCCTAGCATACTTTTTTCGAGGAGAGGGTGGTATCACGAAGGCTTGACTCACTCTTTTTGCTGTTCCCTAAGCAGCGATCACTCCCGTCTTATAAAGCTGATTAAACGAAGCAGTGCCAAGCACCAGCTTTAACACATTCTTTCCAGTCATTTTATAATCATCTGCGGAGACAACAGCTTACGAAAAAAAAAGTTGATCGCAACGAATGGAAGGCTCAAAATAGAAAGGTTGTAGAGTTCGTTGTATCAGCGATTGCTGTAGCATCGAACAGCCATCGAACGAGAGAAGAATGTACCATCTGGATTTTCGCAGTTCCTAAACGTGCCGCTAGGCTCCTGGGCAATTAGGGAGTCGACGCTCATTCGATAACGTTCATATCACGCGCGACTGTAAAGTAACCTTGTCCCGTGCCCGATGCACCCGCTCACGCCAGTCCTGGATCCCTGGGTACTGCAGGAACCACTCCAGTTGCTGTTCCTCTACAAAGTACAGGTTGGTTGTGTGGCTGTATCTCCAGCGGATCAACTACTCTATCTGACGGAGATCGGCCACAACACAGAAAGTTCGGTAGTGTAAGGGAATAGATTTTATTTTTATATGTATATAGGAGGCAAGAAAGGAGCAGTAGAGTGCACCGCGGGGTATAGGCACGCGTGGTTCGGCGTGTGAGCAACGCCTGGATGGATTTTGGTGCATGTATGTGGGAATGATCACATGCGCTTTCATTAACGATGCTTTATAAACGAACAGTAATTGGGCCGCTAAGCGGATACGCATTATACATTTGATATTATATATCGGTAATCCTCCACGCAAGCTGCATGACACCTCATTCCACTGTACTGCCCTGCTGCTTACTACACTGCCGCACTCGGTGAACACATGCCCCTGCGCTTGCGTTAGCCGTCCACAAGGACCAGCGTAAGTATAGGCATAGTCATTCGAGGATCTATAGTAAGTGACAGACCGACAAAACAAGACACACTTGTACTTCATAAGTCTGCGCGTCGTATTTATCACGTCTTCTTTTTTTTATTTTTCGTCGTTCACAACACAACATTTGTTCTGATAAAATCGAGCAGCATGCATGGTTTTTGAAGATACGCCGAAGATGTGCATTCTTTCTGCCTAGCTCTCGCACGCCTCCGGAGGGTTCATGCATTGGTGCACATCAATATTTATTACATTATTGTTTGCACGTGGTTCTCATCTGATATTTGCTCTTTCTTCACGCCGAGGGTTTCTGAACGACCTTGTCGGGAAATATGTCGCGTGAGGTTCAATTCCGCTACGCTGTGCACAGTTGGCGCCCGCTCATGTCGGCAGAATGGCTCATGTCGTCTCGCTGCTTTTCCCGATTACGTGATCATTTTGCGCCTTAAACAAGTCTGTCTCTTCGTATATGGCCATTACCCGAACACACCAGTGAAAAACCGCTTATAAGATAGTCTAGACATCGTGGTTAAACATTCAAACTTTTATCCATCGCGACTACGCGACATCGCTATACAGCAAGATGGTCCCAAGTTATCATACACAGAACGAAGCGAGAAGTGATTGTCTCCCGTTTTTCGCTTTACCGCGTATTGTATCTCGTGTTCGAATAGCATCTTCAGTCTACCTGCTAAATGTGAGAGAAAAATTTGATCGTCGCATGCGGGCACGTCACTGCTCAAATAATCTATAATTGTTGGCCAGTTATCGGTGCATAAGTATTACGTATGCTGATTGGAATTTCGCGGATTCTCGACGGGCTGCGATACAAGAGACAAGATGGGTGATGAGGCGTAGGTCATTCATGGAAATCGATAAAGATCACCAAACAGTGCACCAGACAACGTGAAATGAGTGTCTATCCCCAGATAGAAGGGTAGCAAAAAATATCGCATCTCGTTAAACCATCGTCATAGCGTCATAGCTTGGAGGTTCTCTTCAGCAAATCGAGGATCTCCTCGTTGATGACGTCGGCGCAGCGGGTGAAGAGGTAGTGTGTGCCCTTCTCAAAGCGTAGGGTCTTGACGGGGCCATTTCCGTTTCCTGCGTCACGAAAAAAAAAATGACAGTGGCTGCGTTCCAATTCTCAGACAGCACGTAGACAGTCAAAACAGACTGCTTAGAAGACCGCACCAAGCCCATGCTGTCCGAGAATCGGAACACGTTTAGACAGCTTTTACGCGACGATGCGCCACCTCGCGTCGAGAAGAAAAAGCTAAAATAAACAAACGTAACAGTTGTAATTTCTGGCTTCTTTCATCTTAAAATCAAAAACGAATAAACGTTACTCACATTGACCGTCTGGGTAAGCGTCTGCTTGTGTGCAGACGGCTCGAGATTTGATCTATCTGAGCGATTCGCTGAGCCGCCATCTTGTTTAGACAGCAAAGTAGCCTGCATCGTATTTGTCTACGATGCGGTCTTCTCGAAGCTGTCTACTTTGCCGGCTACGTGAAAATTGGAATGGGACTTAAGATGGATTTAGCCGCCTACGGTGAGTATTGGAACACAGCCACTATGTGACGGATAACTTTCCATGCGCGCACGCACCCCCCCCCCCCCTCCACAAAAAACGAGGCCTTAAATTCACACTCTTTTTTTTTCTTCATTCGTGCGAGGGTCTCGTTATGGCAGACTTGATGCCTTTGGGCGGTATGCGAGGAATTATTGGTCCGCTGCCAGCTCCTGATACGATCATGTGCTACGTGAGCCAACAGGCAAAAAAAAAAAAGTCGTAGCATATCCACGGAGTGAAAGATAATGCGTGGGGCGAAGCATCCATCCGTCAGTTCGTGTTTCCATTCGTCCGTGCGTCCAGACGGACGGACTCATGAAAGGACGGATAGAAGCACAGACTGAAGCATGGCCGGACAGACAGACGGGCGGACGGTTGCACAGAGAAGCACGGAAGCATGGACGGACACACAGACGGGTGGACGCTTCGCCCCACTCATCATCACTCACTCCGTGGATATGCTGTGAAAACCACTAACGCCATCTAGTTATATTATTCCCAAAGACATATACACACAACGCCATCTACTGAACAACTCCAACTCATAAACTAGAGTTGGCTACCTACTACTGATCCAAGTACAGAGAAGGGACCAACCCACGACCTAAGGAGCTTCGCACCTAAAAAGAGGGTTCCATAATCGCCGTAATAGATACAGGTGCGCTGATTGACAATCCCACATTTAAATGTATACATACTCGTGCAAAGTGGACGGTAGGATGACCTCCGCCATAGCTCAGAGGTAGAGCATCGGACGCGTTATTCGAAGGTCGCATGTTCGGTTCCTGCCGGCGGCAAGTAATCTTTTCGTCCACGTTAATTTCTTCACATTTACATTATAGTTATTTTAATAACATACACTATACTTTCCTAAGTATAATTGTTTGTTGATTCGCATTAACATCGTGTCTAACAATGAGTCCTTAAGTTTACACTCGTTTTGAGTGTTACATTCATAAACATGCTGTCGATATTTACTAAGCGGTCACTGCATCGATCATATCGTACTTGGATTCTGTCTATGAAACAATGTCGACGGCGACCTAACTCAATATAACCTAAAAGTTTAGGTGCGACTCAGAAAATGAAAAAAAAAGTACAAGAGCGCAACAAACATGCACCACTTTTCAGTTGTCCGGGTTGTCGGATGGTCTGCTAATTTGAATTATATACATAAACTCAATAAAATCTGTGGACAAAAGAAAAAAAGAATCGAGCCAACACAGGCTCAGCCTCATTAACATGCCAATAGCCAAACAAGCTGCAGGAGCATCAACTCATTCTTTGCAGGCATATTATGAAATAATTAATCTCGGCGCTCTGATGTAAACATTTGCTTTTACATCGGGACGACCACCGGATTTTCAGAAAGATCTCCCGATAGGACATATGGTTGGGTTATCATAAATCTTCTCACCGCGAAAGATACAAGATAGAAACTGTGAAGATAATATCGCTGGCCTTGCCAGAATATATGTGCTAATCTTTCCATCTTCATCTCGTTTAAGCCGAAACCCTTCAAACCAATTCCATTCCAACGAGCCGACTCGATCCGGTTTGGTCGGGTACACGATAGCGTATACTCTGAGTCCACCGTGTGGGCTCAAGTCCTGCAATGTGTGGCGGTGTGTGCGGACAGGACGTACCGCGCTTTTTGAGCCTCTTCTCTTGGTCGTAGTACCAGGTGCTCTCCGGCGAGCCGCCGAGGATGCCGACAGTCTCGAGGCTAACGGGTAGGTCGATAAGCTTGTCATTGTCGCTGATGGCCACCAGGACGGGCAGCTTGCGCGCCGCCACTTCCTCGGCGTCCTTCTTGAACTGCACAGATTGAAAGGCACGAGTGATTATGAGGAGAACGTAAATGATTACGACAGCGAACTGCTACACAACTCCGCCCTGCCTTCAAGAAACAGCGCAGAAGCAGACATTGGACAGAAAATGGTACAAGGAGAATGCTTTTTTTTTTCTTGTTGATTGCTCTAGGGCGGTTTGTTGAAAATGAATAACAAATATTCCAATCTCAAATCTGCCCTATTGCTAGAACATTTTCTCGCGAACTTCTTCTCCAAGCCGGCTTGTTTCGCGATAGGTGTATTGCCCATATCACTCATAATCGTCGTCTGCATCGTCAGCCTATCTGACATTCACTGCGGGACTTTGTATCGTGACAGCTCTAACGTACGCTCACATCCATGGCTTAGGCACACATGGGAGACTTGTTATAAGTAAACGGCAGGTGCGGCTTTTCCCCGTTAAAGGACCCACTTGCAGCCAATGGCATTGCGGCCGACCGCCTTCGTCCATTACTCACGAGAGAAATCACAAAGCGTGTCACAAAGCGGCCCCGCCTTCACGTTGAAGCAGCTACACTATACTGGCGGGAAAGGGGATTGTTTGACGGCAATCGATGATTGATTGATATGTGGGGCTTAAAGTCCCAAAACCACCATATGATTATGAAAGACGCCATAGTGGAGGGCTCCGGAAATTTAGACCACCTGTGATTCTTTAACATCCAGCCAAATCTGAGCACACGGGCCTACATTTTCGCCTCCATCAGAAATGCAGCCGCTACAGCCGGGATTCGATCCCGCGACCTGCGGTCAGCAGCCGAGTACCTGAGCAACTAGACCACCGCGGCAGGTCGTTTGACGTCGAAAAGCCAGACGTCCTTGACGTGTACGGACGCATGTGCTCACCATCCTCAAAGCTAATCAGAAAGGACAGATTATCTCATCCTTCGCTTTGCTGCGTACTGCTCAAGTGTTACTCAGTCACTATAAGCAGCAGCAAAACAATGTCTGACGAATTGGGGCTTTACAGGGAAAGACAGGGGTGCACGCTCTCCCGAGAGGGTAACGCTGGACACACTATAGTGTCTGCCTTTCTAGTGCAGGGTACCTGTGCCTTGTCGGCGTACAACATGGCCTTCATGGCCAACAACACGTTGTCGACGTCCCGGCGCAGCGGATGGCGCGTGGCGACCAAGAAGGCGAGGGCCATGGCATTCACCATACGCTGCGTCAACGGCTGCTGGTACAGGCGACTCAGCAGGGTGGTGAACCATCCTGGCCGCATCACGCTGTGGGCGAACAGACGAGACAATCAATCAATCAATCAATCAATCAATCAATCAATCAATCAATCAATCAATCAATCAATCAATCAATCAATCAATCAATCAATCGATCGATCAATCAATCAATCTTTGTTAAATTGTTACACAACTTTATGGGCAGGCGATGAATCAGCAGCCAGAATGTCTAATAAACCAGCCCGGTACAACACCGACTCCGCATCCTGTACAGAACTGCATTGCAATTACAATATTTCTATATATAAACAAGTGAGAAACAAAAATATTAGTACAAAAATAAAGCAAAGCCCATAATAATGGAATTATGAAAGGTGCATAGTACCAATAACGATAGCTAGAAACTGATTACTGAAGTGTAGTGCTCACATGTTAGAGCAATGTTGTCGCTGCAGAAGTTTCTTGAGAAGTTTCAGTAATTGTTCGCGAAGTATTCGAAAGATTGCCATAGGACACATTGTTTCTTCGGAAACAACGTGCTTCTAACAAGGGGACGCTGCTGTAGGAAGCTAGTACATCAAAAGAATGAAGCGAGTTGGAAAAATCTTTCAGTAGTCTGAGTTTGAAACCTTCAGATATTGTTTGCTCCTCAACAGCATGCACATGAACAAAATCGTAAAGATACGTCAATAGTTAACAAGTGTTCGACGTTAAAATAATAAAAACACGAACAGGCCATGAATAAAGTAGAGGCGATGCAGGTAGCTATATTATGTCTAGAACATAGCGGATGAGAAAAAAATAGGTCTGGTGCTGTAATTCTAACCTTTGGAGATAATTTTACCCATTAAGCGACAGGATATAAATTAAGCATATCCTAAAATAACTCGTGTAATCACGACAATGGCAAGTAAGTCCTGAAACTGGGGCAGTAAAGGCGGTTAAATAACAGTTACAGTTATTTACACTTACACTCACTCTGTATGTTGTAACAGTTACAATAACAACATATAGAGGTTCCTTCATGACTTATAATGAGACATGCAGTTTAATTATTCAGACAAATAACACGAAACACGGATAACCCACCGCCATCAATACAAGCTGAATTACAACAGACCTCCGAAAAGCTTTTCCATCACAAACGTCACGCCATATCTTGACAGTCAAGATACAGAGCAGTGTACGCGCGTCAAGCAAAGAGTTATTTTGATCTAGTCAGTCGCGAGCTCTCATTTTCAATTAATAATACTATCGCACATGATTGATTCTTCGTAAAGTTGACACGAGCATAAAGGCTTGCTTTTTTGTTGTTGATGGAAATCTTTCACGAGATCATCGCTATCGATGAGTAATCGTTGAACGAGCCGCATTTATCTGAATATTCTCAAATGCCATCCCAGCTTCCACAGCAAAAAAATCTTGTTTACTCACACTGCGCGCGCGACGCGAAGGCTTTCTCACTATGTGTACGTTTTCGAATGCACGCAGGCGAGCGTAAGGGGTGGGCAGATATGCAATGCAGATGACTCACTTAGATGGATAGGCGTTGCAGTTGAGAGATCAGATCAACCCCAGGTGGTCGAAATTTCCGTATTCTTCCACTACGGCGTCTCTCATAATCATACGGTGGTTTCGGGATGTTAAACCCCACATATAAATAAATAAATAAATAAATAAATAAATAAATAAATAAATAAATAAATAAATAAATAAATCGGCACTTCAGACATTACACTTGGATGACATATCAATGTTGGTGCTGGCCACTACCATCGTGCTCTGAATGTCTTTTCTTGTTTTTTTTTTGTGTTTTTTATACAGGTTCGCCCAACAAACCGTTATCTTCGTTAACTCACGTAGAGTTTGATGGCGTGTTTTTGCCCCTTTCATGATCACTGAAATATGACACAGTACGTGTCATCCAATAATGCCCCCTCTCCTGTCACTTCATGATCTGAAAGCATTGATTCGTTTGGCTTCGGGAAGGCTTCACTTCTAGATTTGTATATATGCACTTTAGACATTAATTTAGGCTGGCCTCACTTGAAGGTTATGGAGGCGGAAATGTTGTAGGCCCGTGTACTCAGATTTGGGAGCACGTTAAAGAACCTCAGGTAGTCAAAATTTCCGGAGCCCTCCACTACGGCGTCTCTCATAATCATATGTTGGTTTTGGGACGTTAAACCCCACAAATCAATCAATCAATCACTTGAAGGTTCGCAATAAAAAAAAGAGGAACGCAACGAATGTTTTCTCGAATGGAATGGAAGCGAACCCAAGCGTACTAGATTGCGTGCTATGGCGTTAAGCTCTGTCACGCCATCTGCATGCTCAATATAGTAGTAGAGCACTGCGAAAGTAAGTTATGGTGCACGATTATCTTACAGAAGAAGATAATTTCATGTGTGCGCTCTTCGCGATCAGCCATCTGCATTCGCTGATATGCCCAGCGCCACGGTTGACGAAAATTTAAACCTTAGGAACAACTGACTTTGAGGGTTTCTATAAATACTTACACTGATCTGCCATTGCCCGCTTGCCGCGACGTCGTCTTCGGTGGATCTAAACCTCAAATGACATTCTCGATTAGGGTAAATACGTTAATTCGACGTCCCGACGAAGCTAACCATGATTAACCACGCCCGCTGCCAGTTTCAGTAAACGACAAGGTTAAACACGGGGCTCCGAGCTCACTTGATCTGGCTGTAGCCTGCTGGTGCGAGCAGAGTCAGACTCTTGACCTTGAGGCCGTCCTTGCGGCAGATGAGGCGCATAGCAGGGTAGGCGCCGCTGCTGTGAGCCACCAACATGTCGGCCCTGTAGACAAGCGAGGCATGGTTATAGTTCGAGTACATCATAATCATCATCATCAGCCTGACTACGTCCACTGCATTACAAAGGCCTCTGCCATGTTCCACCAGTCAACTCGGTCTTGCGCTTGCTGCTGCCAATTTACACCTGCAAACTTCTTAATCTCAACTGCCCACCTAACCTTCTGCCTCCCTCTAACCCGCTTGACTTCTCTGGGAATTCAGTTAGTCACCCTTAATGACCAGCGGTTATTCTGTCCACGCGCTACATGCCCGGCCCATGTCCATTTCCTCTTCTTGATTTCAACTATGATATCCTTAACCACCGTTTGTTCCCTAATCCAATCTGCTCTCTTCTTGTCTCCCTTCGAGTACATACATGACGGTCACTATGCACACACTGTATTTATATGAATCCACTGCTAGAAACGCATACATTGAGCTGAAGTTGTCCTCGTTAGTGCCAGTGGCGGCGACCAATAAAACTAAGGTGGGGGGAGGGTCGGAGGGGTTGCTGTTTACGCGTAAATTTAGCTTGCACTACCTTCTCTTCCCTTTGCACGCGCCAGAAGAAAACGTATTTTACAGTCCTTCTTTTCAGTGGCGCCCTTGACCTCTGAAAGGCCTCTTTAATTGTACCCGCCCGTTCCCCCTTTCCACCTCACCCCCTCCGACTCCCGCGAAGGGCTACGCAAACCGCATGTGGCATATAGAGGCCATATACGGTAACGTTACGAAGGACAACATCATGGCTCGGCTTTTAGACTTCGTGCATCGAAATTTATTAAAGGAACCTTAAAACGGTTTTGTCGATTTTGTACAAACACACTGGGCCGGTAAATCAAGTCCTAAGGGTCGTTTAGTGACAGATTTGAGCTCTCTGCGTAAACTGTGTAATTTATTACAACGCTTTAAAGCGTTGAATTGCTGCAGATCGGCGCAGATCGCTGCGACTCGACCAAACCACGTTTTCAACCGTCCATCTACATAGCGACCTGCTCTCGCCACTCGACGTCACGATGGCTGCTGATCTGATTGGCTGTCGTGTGCTGTAGAAAACGTAAAAGTAAGATCGGCTGGTAGTGTGGCGGTACCTGTCGAAGCAGATAACCACTCCGCGATCTTCGGCTCCCTTGCCAGACGGCGTGCATGCTTCCGGGCGCACTGTGTGATGGCCTCCGAGACTGCGCGCAACCTGTAGGCGTGCGATCTCGGAGGTGTACACTGGTAAAAGCTCAAATCGTCGAGCGCGCTCTTGAGAGTTCTGCGATCGCCAGCGATGCCAGCGTACCTCATGAGTTGAGGAAGCAGGCAGAGGTGAGAAGGAGGGTTCGACATAATTGTCCGTGGCGGCCTTGGTACACGGCATGTCACTCAATTTGTGGTGCGAATGGCTTGATTCTCTAGCCTAACCACTGAAAAAACTTAAAAAAAAAGAACCATTTCAAGGTCCCTTTAATGAAAGGTTACAACGTTGCTATATTAAGGGCTTCCCCAATCAAAGTTATAATCTGCATCTGAAAAGTAATAATTGGTAGTAAGGTAATAAGGACAAAGATGTTTTCATGGTTCAATCATTTAGCCCCGAACGATGACGTTCTCATCGGCATTAAGTGACGTGACAACGCTCGCGATCAGGCGAACGAGACTTGACGCAGGGATACCAACGTTGAACGCGCTGCTGGTTTCTAACCGCCTTCATCATTCGTGTAATCATCGAAGAAGTGTTGACGTCGACGCAAAACTATTACTGCAGCATAGAGGAGGTTAAACGAGACAAAATTTATTTATTTATTTATTTATTCATTTATTTATTCACCTTGCTTTTTCCCCCGAATATATAAAAATCTAACCACGAGTTAATGGCTTGATGCTCGGCTGGCATCATAGCGGCTTTCTTAATAACACACTTATATTCAATGCACGTTGTGAATGCAGGAGAGAATAGTACACAAGAGAGAAAGAGGGGGGAGTCAAACTCACTCCGAGACGCCGACAGCCCTGAGGAAATCGAGGGCGAGGTTGGTTTTCTCCTCGCTCGAGTGCCACCAGCATCCAGACTGGCGGCTGAAGGCCAGGTCTGCGGAGAAAAGGCCGCCCATTACATTGAGGGGTGCGTGTGTATATGCCACGCGTACACGGGCGTTGCGAGAGAGAAATGCCGCAGAATAAAGCAGACGGGGTAACAAATGTTTCCGGTCGGCCTTTGGCGTTTTCCCTTTTGTACCCAGTGTGTTGCGTAAACATTGTGTCTCCTCACCACGTTTCCAGGTGGCACCAAACACCGGCCCTCTTGGAGACCAGCTCACAACCTTCTGGTGCCCGGTGCGATATAAAATATCGCTGACTCGTTTTTGAAAGACCTTACAGTAATTACAGATGACTAACAAAACAATTAGCGGTCAAGGTATAAAGACAGAAAGGCGTGGTTATCATGTTTCACGTGAGAAAAAAAATCACTTTTGTTGGGCGCGACTTACCAAGTGCTTCAAAAGGTATAGAATTATATTTTTATTTATTTCTTTATTTACAAAAACACTGTTCGAGCGCAAGCAGGAGTGGGTAACAAATGTCAGTGACAAAACAGAATATAAAAATATAAGAAAATACAATACTAGGTACGAAAATAAGAAAATTCTCATCATCAGGGAAAATATAAATAGTACATAGCAATAACGGCATTCATACCAAAATACAAAACAAAATCTCAGCACTAATGAGGAACATGATATATTGCATATTAAGTGCTATAGCACTGCGTTGATTCAATAATAATTTAAAGTTAGAACGAGCAAAGTAAGCCAAGTTAGACAAAATCGTTGCCGGTGTGCACTTAACATAAATTGCATAATCTCCGTACCGCTGACTAAAAGTAAAGTCGTTATGCAGATGACACCCAATCAGTGGGTGAGCGTGCGTGCGTGTGTGTGTGTGTTTGTGTGCAAAGTGCATGCGTGCGAGTGCGATGGTCACGCGTGCGCGCCTCCCTACTGTGAAGATATCTCGGGTTGTACCTGACGTCACCCATTTCTATCCTGTTATCAGAATAACGTTGCATTGTCTGCCGTAGTGGCACACAAATAATTAACATAAAATAAGCAATAAATTATAAAGAAATAAAATAAAACATTCGGTAGATACCACGTACCTTGGAAAACATGAGTATTAGCAACACCAGAAGCGATTATCTTATATGAAGCTCTGGTTCTAGCGAGGATTGTATACCCCCCTTGACACTGCTACATAAATGAGCAGCGGCTGTACCATAGGAGCACATATGCAATGATTATAAAAATGGGTAGCCAGCACTGCCACCACAATTGACGTTTAACAAACATTAGAGTGTATTTGAAAAGTAGTCCCGAGACCTGACGTGGCTTTGTGGTAGAATACTTGATTGCCACGCAGAGTGCTTGGGTTCGATTCCAGCTGGGATCCTGACACGTATCCTTTGCATTCATCGGGACAACAATGCCGATGCCAGGATTTTCTTAACGCTCACGCGTCAAAATTGCCCATGTGCGTTGTCGTCGTTCCTGGGTACCAAGTGTCAATAATCACCTGTGGCACACACCTGCATACCAGAGGAACATACCCGCCCGCGGGTATGTGCCACTGTTTGGAGGGAAGTGTTTAATGATACACGCGACGGGATTGTGACATTATTCACGTCTGGACGAGCGCGTCATATTCGTCAAACCATCTTACCCGCCCATACAGGTTTTGGTTCACGCTGAGTCAAGGGGTATTCCCGAAAGCACCCAGACGTAAGCGGATAGATAGATAGATAGATAGATAGATAGATAGATAGATAGATAGATATATAGATATATAGATAGATAGATAGATAGATAGATAGATAGATAGATAGATAGAAGCCAAAAGTGCTTGCAGCTCGCGAAAAGATGGTTCGAACTTAAAAGACCATCTCTTCGTTTGTGAAGGGTACTACAGAATGCACGATACCGACGCGCACAGAAAGTCAATCATCTCATTTAACACTGATCTTCATATTGAAGTAGCAGCAATACCCAGAGATGCAACCACACACTGCAAAACTATGACGCCAGCTAAGTTTGCCCACTTCGCTCGCTCCATTGCAGCCCGCAAAGCGGCCCTGCACGCCGCAGCTACGCACCTGGCCACGCCGGAGCGACGACGTCGACATCATGCCGGTCCAGGAAGGGGATGAGGTGCGCGAAATCGGTGTAGCTCCCTGGGGCGCCGGTCAGGATGACTACCACGGGCCTACGGCTGGGCCTGTCTTCGGTCTGGGCGGCCGGCGTGGGACCCGCGCGCTCCGAGCGGTCCATACCCGTGTGCACGAAGGAGACTGGAACCGGAAGGCCGTTGGCTGGCGCGCTGGAGTAGCCGCGGCGAGTGCCCCGCCACGACTGTAGCGAAGAGCACAGGGGAGAGAACGTGCAATCCGATAAGGGCGTTCTATCACGCAGAAATATAAAAGGCCGCGCAACTACACCCATTCTCAGGGAATGACCAAGAATGATTCTGATGACCGCAATGGCGCCGACACTCACGCTAGGGGATCGGCCAATGTAGTAAACATGTTTCCAACCCACTACGGGGAGTGGGTAAAAGATCGGGCGACCGGTCGGTAACAAAAATAATCAAGAATAGAAAGAAGATTCTCAAAAGAACGTTAAAGTAGGAGAAGAGAGAAACAGCGAATCGACGAAGCTCGATGTTAACACGGGTTATCACAAAAAGCTCGCACAATGAATGAATCTGAATAGGTTGGCGAGTGATACATGGCTCCTAATGGCGGAAGGAACAAGTGTGGTCAAGGAGCACCCACCAGGCAGGTGATAGTGATTTTTCAGCGTACAGTATAAAATTAAAGGAAAGACGTAATTAAGCTGTATAAAATGTACAGATTAAAAAAAATGTTCAGTGTAGCGCACGTGAAATATACGATTGTTAAAAGCAAAAGGCATACTATGATGATGATGATTAAAACTTCATTTCGGTGCCGAGAAGACGCAGGGAAGCCGAGTTTGGCGGCCCGTTCACGGGCACTCTGCAGACGGCCAGGGTTTGATTGTCAAATTCGGGGCTGCATAAGAGCGCTGCCCACCTGTCCTCGCTGAAGGCGGAACCGATGGCTTCACATCCCGACAACACATGGTTGAATGTTGCTAATAGTCCTCAGGCAGGGCAGTCCGCACTTGGATACCGTTCAGGGTGCATGACATGAAGAACCGCAGGGTTAGGATACGCACTGGCTTGCAACAGTCTAAGGGTAGCTGTCTGCGCCCTGCACAAGGCAGGGTGTGCGAGGGGGAATACCCGTCTTGACAAATAGGAGTGTTTTGTTATTTCGTTGAACGTGTTGTTTCGTTGAGGCGTGCTTTAAAATAAAATACACGGTGCGATAGGATGATACGCTGAAATATTACTGTGCGACGTGTGCATGTCAAGGCTGCTTTCCGCAAATGACATGCCTCACGCACCTATAGAAGGGATGGACTACGAAACGGGTTATTGCAATTAAAGGAAATAAAAGGAACACGAGCAATAAAGAGAAAGTGAGGAAGCGGAGGCATTCGCAATTAAATACCTACAGTAAACAAAGATTGCGTTTTTTTTTTTTCAACTTAGGCTGGGTCCCCACAGGTCACGTTTCGCAACGGCACCTGGGTGATCTCGTTCGAGTAGCGGGGCAGCGACGCTCCCTTTTACCTCAAGGTCACTTGAAGGGCCCCGGCAACAGGAGCTAAATCCATTTCACACTTCACATTTCAATGCTCTGCGGCTGTCAGGTATCACAAGATAAAGGGAAAATTAGAGAAGAGAGCAACGTACACAGACTTGCCGGCCTGGCATCAAGTTCTGGTTATGGGAAAGCGGTCATCATGCCCCGGGAATATAGAAGTCTGTAATCCGCAAATGTAGTAACTTGTACATATATATGCAATGGGACGTTTAAATACTTGGCGTATGCGCAATAAACCATTGAATCCCACGCACTTCTGGATGAATCTGCTTGCCGTTCGCGTCGAGAGACGGAAGTAACTGTAATAGGAGGAATAATCAAACATGGGGACGTGCGCACACGGTCGGAACTCTTTGCGACTGGAGCAGAGCACCGCTATAGCCACAACATATAAGGCGAGATAGATTGTTCACGCAGCTTTACTACGGCGGCAAAAGCAGTGCGATGTGTGAAAGGCTATATTATACGTACTGGAAGCTGTACATAACAGACAAAACACGGTTTCCTTCTATCGTTCTTTTTTATCCGACTCAACTGCACACTCGAATGCTGCCTTTTTGTGCACAGTTCTGCAGCTTCGCCCAGCTTGCTCGATATCGTAGATTATAAGAAAGAAGAAAATGAATATGTGCGACTCTTTTTGACGTGTCTTGCGTTTACCAAGTACAGGGCGTTTTGTGTCCCACTACTGTCCTACGAGAGTGTAATCCTCCTCCTCCTGTGTACGAAGCATACACACATTAGCGCCAAGGAAAACAGTTCCAGCCTTGAGGAAGACAATGCCCTAATCGCAACGTCGGCTCGAGCACGTACCCCCTGTTTACGGATTTTTCCATCGCAAGTTTATATCTTAAAGAGACACTAAAGAGAAACAATGAGTTGTTTTAGATGGATAAACTGCACTCTGAGAACTCTAAAGTCATAGGTTTCACTGCCATAAGTTCATCATTAGCGGAGAAAATCAAGATCGAAGTTTAATTTTTGAATTTCGCACAGTGATTTCGGCGCGTGACGTGAGAAATTCCACAATGTACTTTTCGTATTTTCGCGACATTGGCACGACGAAATTTTCTTAGATATCGCATGCTAAGTCTACGGCACCACAGATAACAATGTATTTCAATTTTTATCGATTCGAAGCCACTTATGACACAGTAGACACCTTCAGAATTTATGACGTCACAGTGTTTGGTGTGGGAATGTCAACGTGGCGTCTTAATCCAATCTGCAGTTTCTTTTCGAGCGTTTTCTCGCTCACTAAACAACGTGTCGCGGTAAAAGTGGTGTTTTAGGGATTGTGAAATTGTACTTTACAAATACGCGAGAAATCGTTTTGCTCTTTAGTGTCCCTTTAAGTTGTTACTGCCCTTTTTTTTTAAATACGAGTCACATGACATTTACTTTACCCTTAGGGTGTAAATGTAAGAAGCGGAGGTTAAACATAGCGACATAAAGTTGAAAGAACTACAACTAGACAGATCAGTCACTTCCGTCTTACGCTTCCTCTTTTCTTCCTTTTTTCCCTATCTTTCCCGACTTTAATGACTTACACTTTATGACACTGGCGGTATCGGGTGAAGGAGTAAAATTACAGCTTGCGAAGTTACTGTCAGCTTGAAGTATTGAATTTCGATTCTAATTTTGACATCGGCTCGCTTCACGGAAACGTGTGACTACCAGGTGTGCATGGATGAATGGATGGATGAATGCAAAACCTTATTGAAAGTCCTGAAGTGCACCACGACTCAGCAAGACATTTTGTTCGGGGTTGGGGGGAGTTGGGGGAGTCAGTCTTCCGTCATGTTTCGCCGTGATCGCGTTTGTATGTGTGCGCATATGCCTTCATTTCTCGCATATAACCCGCTCCTACACATAACCTACACCCTAACTATAACCCAACAAAAAAAGAGAGGTACCCGCATATAACTATTATAAATAACCTGCTCCAACAGTGTTTTAAACAAACTTTTTTTTAGAAATATTTTGGGGGCTGCGGGTTCTATGCGAGAAAATGCCGTATATATGCACACGTAAAACAAAAAAAAAATCAGACCACCCTTTCCCCTCCTGGCTGAGCTATTGGTGGCAACAGCCGCGCACGCCCACCTTGTACAGGTCGGCGCAGGTGGTGACGGTGATGTTGCGATCGCGGTAGGGCCACTTGTTCTCCTGCAGCACGGAGCCACCGCTGCCCGCCGCATCGTCGTCGTCTCGCAGCGAGCTCGTGGTGTGCGCCCAGCGGCGGAGCACGGCGCTGGTCGGTCGACTGGGCATCACCGGCGCCTCTTGCGCTGGTCGCAGCAGCTGCCACGGCCAACGGCTGCAGTGCGCGCTGGATGACCGGGCGGCAGGCGCCGGTCGGGCGCGAGGCTGAGAAGCCATGCAGCGGCATCCTGCAGGAAGCAGTCGCAATTCACAATCAAGGGCCAGGTTGCTATAAGGCTACGCGCGCAATAATTGCTGGCGTTTAACGTCCCATCTACGATATGATAACGGGGGACGACGTACTGGAAGGCTCCAGAAAATTTGACCACTTTGGGGTTCTTTAACGTGCACTTAAATATGAGCACACGGGCCTCAAGCACTTTCGCCTCCATCGGAAGGAGGCCGCCACGGACGGGATTCGATCCCGCGACCTTTGGGTCAACTGTTGAACACCATAACTACAAAGTCACAGAGGATCGGATGCTCGAAATCTTTTTGGGCCTACACTGAAGTGAGAGGCAGCCTAATGGAGAGTTCCACGCGTTGAAGTTACGAAAGTTTTATGAGTCCCGAACATATTCATCAAGGAGGGAACAATAATTAGAAAAAAAGATCAGGGAACGAACTCCGCCTTGAGATATGTGGTGCGAAATGCAGGTAAACACTTCTAAAACGGCGACCGCGGTGACCAGTGTCTATACGGTGCTCCGCTGTTGAACCGATTGTCACGGGTTCGAATCCTGCCACGCCGGTCGCGTTTTAATGGAGGCGAAACGCCGCAGACCCGTGTACTGTGATATGTCATCTGCAGATGTTTTGGAACCCCAGGTGGTTGCCATACACTATACGGCGTCTCTCATAGCCCGAGTCGCTGTGGGACGTTGAATAGTCACAAATAACTCAAGCTCCTATGGGGCCAGAACATTCTAAGTATTTCACTGTAAAAAGGATAGTATAATGCATTCCCAGTGACTTCATGACTTCACTCTACGCAGTGAAGTCACGGTGCCTGACAGACATACGTCGGGCATCGCAATACAAAAAATGGAAGCCGGAACATCGGAAATCCTTCGTTACACACGTAACATTGTGGCCGAGGTATTCGACTGAACGCTGGGGTAGGTGCTGCAGCGCTGAGTCGCGGGTGCATCGTTGTATCGCGATGAGAAGCCGGCGCGTTTAGCTGCAGAGCGAAAGTGTACCGGAGCTGTGAAGAATTACCCTAACATCACAGCCGCCGAACAAATCCCAGTCAACCTTTCCATGTCGTCCCATAGATTTTGATTGATTGATATGAGTAATTTGTGGGGTTAATGTCCCTAAACCACCATATAATTATGAGATACACCGTAGTGGAGGGCTCCGGAAATTTCGACCACCTGGGCGTTTTTTTAACGTGCACCCAAATCTGAGCACACGGGCCTACAACATTTCCGCCTCCATCACAAATGCAGCCGCCGCAGCCGGGATTCGATCCCGCGACCTGCGGGTTATCGTCCAATAGAAGCGGCTACAGGTGCAGCACGATAGGACGTGACCTGACTAGATAGTTACACGAAGCAATGGAGAGCACCGATGCTGTAATTATACATCCCTCTGTATAATTTTCAGCTGAATTGTTTTACAGCCTCAATCAATGTGACAAGCTATATGTGTAGCTTGTCGCACTAATTAGGGCAGTAAAGCTCTGAAGGCGCTCAGAAACTTAATTCTGAGCAATACGGCCCATCGCTGCGGCGCTCGCTCTGCGGGAAGACCAAGATCGAACCAGAGTCCTTCAATGCTTAAAGGACGGTAATAAAGGACTCTGATCGAACATATCAAGTCAAGCCACCTGATTCGGTCATGCACGCAGTTATAGAAACTGCAGTTTTGTTTCCGCGAATGTTTGCCAACCTTTTCGATTGACCACAGACTTGCAAAAGATGATTCAAAAGTGTCCTCACTGTGTTTTTTTTTGTGTTGTTGTTGCGAATTTTCGACTAACAAGAAAGTGACTTCCTTTCATTTCGGTCAAACTTAATGACCATATAAACATTTTGCCCATTGCTTATGAGCTCTACTCAAGGTCTAGCAATTCATGCGTCCCTTTTAAAAGCGACTAGCGGGAAATTTCTGCAGTGATGACTGTTTCTTTAAAAAAAATAGTCCCGACGTCTGCTTGAACTAAGCTCCAAACGCCTTGCAGCTGTTCATCCTGGCATGATTTCCGCGCTCTAAAGCGAATCAATGTCGCGAGATAAAACAATTCAAAACTGTGGAAACATATTTTTCCCTCGGAGGCCAGTATGAAAAGACGGAGATCGCCAGAACGAGTTTTTTTTTTTTTTTTTCCTCGCTGAATGAAGCTCGCAAAGCGTATTTGAAGCAACGGTGGCTGCCACGAAGCGCCTCGATAAACAGAAAGTGGCGACCTCATGTTTTTTTTTTTTAAATAACGCGAGGATTAAGGCGCGAAGCTTCCCGGTCTACGAGTAGAACGCCAAGCCTTCATTTTCAACGTGGCTCACGAATCGATGCCTACACGGGTGCTATAAAGCCTCGTTGTTTTTTTTTTACCCCCTCTTCCTTGACCTGTCCGTCGGGGACGGAATAAGGTCATTGGAATGTATACAAGCGGGACTGGTGGCGTTGCACAGTGGGTATTAAGAGCGCCCTTCACCAGGGTGCGTGAGCATGGATGAGTAACCAGCAAGTGCTGTTGTGACCGGCGCCAGAGCGGAAGAGGGAGCGGCGCTCCTTTAATCTTCAAACAAGTAACCGAACGACCGGCTGCCTACTGTTAGGACCGGCGCCAGGTCTGACAATGGATCGGCGTTCCTTTTGATGTTCCTTTTTAGTCGCCAAACGGGCTGGCGGCCTGTGTCCGCCATGTATTGTTCCCCCCTGGCCGGAGGGTGCGGCGTCTTGCCGCCGCGACACCGTGAGCAGTTCGGGAGACCACAAGTGCCGCTTCTTCTTTGGAAGATGACGGCGGCGGCGGCGGCCGGAAATCGTCCCGCTAATTGAACGAGTCGTTCGGCGACCATTTGAAGCTTGTTTACGGCGGCCCTTTCGATGGATGCAGTCATCAACTTCAGACCCCTCGCCCAGCGACACCCCTTGACGAGGAGGAGCCACGTTCGTGCCACATGGCCGTGCAGTGACCACGCTTCAATTTTGAACGTTCACGTGGACCGTGCGTGCTCGTCACCCTCGCGGGTAATGTGTGATCCGTGGTTGGACGGTGCCCTCTGTACGCGGTCCCCGATCTAGGGATCTGGGGAGGACAGACCCTTTATAATGAGCCCCCGCGGCTCATTCGTGTGTGTTTTTTTTCGAGAGCAGAACCGAGCAGAACCATGTAGAACCAAGCACCATGTAGCGCTATGTTAGGAGACATGTAGAGGCCTGCCACGTTTGAGAGCTCACCGTGTAGGGAGTTCGCAATGTACATATTGTAAATAAACCCTCTTCAAGTCTCTCTGCCTCCTGCCTCGACAACTTCATCCCGGACCTCCGGTGTCTGGAAACCCCGGTCGCAACAACTGGTTGGCAGCGGTGGGATACGAGTCTGCGACGGAGAGCGACATGTACCGGAGGCCAGCCGAAAGCCCTGGAACTCGGCGGGATCGAAGCAGCGTACCACCACCGCACGTAATGGGGTGAGTGCCTGGCTTTGTGCTTGAGATATATCGAGTCTTTTAGCCTAAATTCGTTAAAAGATAGATATAACCAACAACTGCCTGGCCACTGTGGTTGTTATCTCAGCACAAGGCAGCACTGGATGATTATCTGAGCAAGTACGCTAAAGCAGGAAAGCTTAGATGATTCAATAGGAACAAGGGGTAATGTTTCAAAATTTCTAAGGGTACGTTGCGGGTTAAATTTTAGGATGTTGTAAAAAGCAGGAGTGAAAAATTAACAAGAAAAAGTAGAGAGGGATGTTGGCCACGTAGTGCTACTTGGGTGCTTAAGCTTGTGGTCTCCGCTGTGAGATTTGCCAGGCTTCAGTTTCTCTAGACCCAGAATTGAAGCGCTGGTGGGTTTGTGTTTTGTCACAGCTGAGCCAAAGCAAAGTAGTCGCCATGGATCTTACGAGATTGACGAGAGAGAACCTGCTGAACCTGTGTTGGGATCTGGAGCTAGATTTTAATGATGATATGCCTGCTTCTAAACTCCGCGAAGTGATTCTCGAAAGCAATAGTGACAATGAGGAAATCGAGCACTTCGGGAATATGTACTTATTGGACCAGGAGGAGGAAGTACAAAGGGCGCAAAGAAAGGAAAGATGGCGCCAGGAGGAATTGGAAGCTGAGCGCAGGCATGAAGAACATATAAAAAGGATGCAGGAATTAGATGAAGAGATAGAAAGGCTTAATTGTGAATTGGTGGCATTGCAGCAGAGTGGTCAATCTGTAGATGTAGCGCACGAACGGTGCGATGTAGCGGCGGTGCCGTTTAAGACCGAAGCGAAGGCTACAGGTCAGACATCTGTAGATGAAGTGCACGAACGGTGCGACGTAGCGGCGGTGCCGATTAAGGCCGAAGAGAGGGCTACGGGTCAGAAATTTGCAGATGTACCGCACGAACGGTGCGTTTCAGCAGCGGTGCCGTTTAGGGCCGAAGAGAGTGCTGCGGGTCTGATATCTGTAGATATAGCGGCGGTGCCGTTTGAGGCCAAAGAGAAGGCTAGTGCCTGTAAGGGAATGGAACAGGTTTTAACCCATTCTGAGGGAAAAGAGCTCGCGGTCACAGCAGGGTGTGAGGGTTCCGTGGTGGGGGAAACGAAGTTAAGATTAACAGAGTGTTCCATCGAACCTTGCAGCCCTGTAGACCATGTTGATGAGCGTCAGAGGCGGACGAAAGGCTCCAGGTTTGGCACCAAGGAATGTGCCAAACGGAGAAAGCGTCCGAAAAACAGAAGCGCGGCAAGGCTCGCGATCAGCGCGGCGCGTTTGACGAGGACCTTCAAACGGCGTGGCGGATTTGCGAGAAAAGGCCCGTTGTCTTCTCTGACTGGCTTAAATCGCAGGCGTCTGAGCGGCCGGAGAGTAAGGAACAGAAGTGCGCAATCTACGCGGCCGCGGTCTTACGATGAACTGATAGGCAATCATCAGGACTGGGCGCGCGAGATGGCGGAGGAGCATATCGGTGATGAAGAACGTCAGAGTAGGACGAAAGGCTCCCAGGTCCGCACAAAGAAGCG